GTCTCATAACAGAAATTTTATATATCAGCAGAAGACATATGACGTTACTACATCTCCTTAAGACAGAAAAAAATAAAAGATTGACCTCTCTTTCCCACCTTGTGTTTCAAATATCAGCTGTTAAACAAGGAGTGACATAAATCAAAACAAACCACACACCTTAACGTGTCACTCCACTAGGGAAAGCACTAGATTGTCCTAGAAAGTGCAGCAGCACTGCAGCCATGGGTGAGGAACAGCCAGTGAAGTGAGCACGTCAATGGGGTTCCGTGCTGGAATAACTCTTGGGGTCACCATGAAACCCAACAAGGTGGCCAAAGCCTTTTCAAATCAAAGGATGGCAAAAGAGGACTTTTCACCAGCACTAGATTATGTATGTTCTCCTACTGTAAAGGACAGGAGCTAGCAGGTGAACAAAATTACTCTATTTTAGAGCATAGCAGTGGTAATGAAAGGGATGGAAAGCAGAAAAGTTGCTTTCTATGAGTCAGAGCCCAGAGAGCAAAAGGACATGTACGTGGTGTGTACATGGGACGTGGGACACCACAGGAAACAGCCTCCTCCTCCTTCCACCTCACGGACAGGGAGCAGACCGCATGGATTTTGCCAGGGGTGGGAGCGCACACGAACCCTTCGGAGCAGCACTACCCACACCTTGTAATACGCGTTACCTTCCTGTCGGGTGGGGACGGACCACTTTTACCTGGATCACACTGCATCCACCCCCAGGCCGGCCCGTACTCCCGGCCATACAGCTCCCGCTCGGCACCCCTCGTGCTCCAGCGCTTCACGTGGGGAAACAGCGGCCCCCGTCCGGGCCGGCCGAGGAACACGTTTTCTGGCGCGGATCGGAAGACGCCCGCCCTGGCCCCGCGTCTTTCGGCTTTGTGAACCCCGAGGTCTCCCGGCCCCGCCGCTCCCGGCCCCGCTCCCCGCGGAGCCGCTCACCCGCGCAGCGCAGGCCCTGCGAGAGGACGAAGCGGCACACAGGTCGCACCACGCTCCCGCCCGCCGCCGGCCCGAACCGGTGCGGGGGCTCTGGCGGCTGCGCCGCGTCGAAGATGGTGCGGACGTGGCGGGGCCGCGGCGCCGCGGCGGCGCGGGCGGCGGCGAACGCGGGGCCCGGGGCGCGGCGGGCGCGTCGGGCGGCGGGAGCAGCGGCGGCGGGAGCAGCACCACCGGCCCCGCCGCGGCTTCTCCCGCCGGTCCATGCGGAGCGGGGCGCGCCGGCCGCCGCCGCCTCTCCCCGCTTCACGCACGACACCCGCGGGCGAGGGGAGCGGGGAGGCGGCGGAGGGGAAAGAGGCACTGCCCCCGCGTCCTCCCTCGACCTGGCGGCCGTCGCGTCGCTTCCCGAGTCCTCTCGCCGTGAAACGTCTCGCCGGTCTGCCGGCCCCGCGCCCGGGAGGGACAAACTCCGCGTCATTCGGCATAGACGCACTCGGGGATGCTGAAGCAGCCCCTGGCACAGGGGGAGCTGGCAGGAGCTGGCGATGCGCTTCAGTAGATTCCCATTAAAATGATATGCCTCAGTGCCTTAAAGCAGCTACTAGGGGAAATGTTTCCCAGGGCTGGACAGCGGTGACATAACCCACACCTGGATGGGGAGGGTAGCCTGGGTGGAAGCCTGGGTAGTCAAAGCGCTCCTTCAACACTTGTGTCCGTTTCCAGGAGCAGACCACAACTTGGAACAAGCGCAGCGTGCCCCTGTTTGCAACGCATCAGCAGCTCAACCTGCCGCTGCCGACCTTACTTGCCAACAAGCAGCGAAGTTCTCCAAAAGATGTACATCTACAACTACTGCAGACTGGGCAGGTACCAGTGTCAAAATAGCAAACGCCACTGAGGGATACTACCCCTAACCACATTTTTTTTTTAATGATCGATGGAACAAATAACAACCCCCCAAAAAAAGCTGTTAAGAGCACAGAAGATTAGGTCGTGAGGCAGCCTTGCCACTGCCAGAACCGGCTACAGGAGCTCCCAACAGTTAACCTGTTCCTATAACCCCTCTTCAAACGATATTGCTTGGTTCCCAGGATAATCTGTTCTGGCACCTGGCCTATCTTCACTAGTAGAAAGATTTTTCCAAACTTGTAAGCTGGATTTTTTTTGTTTCAGGCATTACAGTTTATATTAATAATCCATAATCCTTTCACTGCAGACATGGTAAATGCTGATCTTCTGTAACAGCCTTTAGATTGATTACCAAAGACTTTTGCTTTCTCCTTCCAATATTCCCTTCTTTCAGCCAACAACTCCCATTTTTTTCCCAGTCCCACTCAGGTGAGTTTTCCAGACCCCAGCCATCCTTTTCTTTTCTCTCCTAAATTATCTTTAAGTGGCCAGTATTTCTTTTAATTTTGAAAGTGTTTTAAAAGGTTAATTTTTAAGTTTAAAAGTGTTCATCATCAGGCTGGTCACAGGCAACCAAGTTTTCCTCTGCACAGACGGGGGTGGGCATGAATCCCACCGTTTTTCAGGTCCTTAGCTAGAAGCCAGCACAGGTGTAGCTAACCAAATGTGGCTACTCAGACCCATTACTGTGCCCTCTCTGGAAGGGATTTCAGAATAACAGCAGGCTGTGCAACTACTTAAGAATAGCTCTGGCTTTAGTTTTACTCAAGCAAGTTTATGCAACTGCAGCTTATTCATCTTCTAGCCTTCAAGCATAAAAACCCACAAAAAGTAATCTTTCCCTTTCAGCTTTTTCAATCCTTGCCATACTATTAGATCCAAAACTATTCTATAATTACCGTTTCTACTGTGATTAACCAAATTGGTACTGATTGAGCTCCTCCAGTGGACTGTTTCACACTGAGAAGAGATTAGGATTTTTGCCACCATTACAGAGAACTAATATTGTTCAGAACATATATCAACAAAGTAGTTTAAAAAAAAATTAAAGTAAAAATGATTAGTCACTCTACCATATCACCTATACTAGTGATTCTGTTGTGCAGGGCACATTTTCTGGACAGCTGCTGCAATTTGCTACTTCAGATTTCAGGCTTTGTATTGTGCTTACAAGGAAATAAAACTCTCCAGGCAATACTGAAATTACCAGAAGGTGAAATTATGGAAGGGCAGAAGAACACACTGTACAATAAGTAGTTGACAATGTATTTATGCCATTAAATCATTTGCTCATGCATTTTCACAGTTCGTATGAAGACACGTTTGTTCAAGTAACGATAATTAATATATTCAGCTAAACCCCCACAAACCAGTAAACCAGCTTCAGGAGGAAGAACCATATATTATTTTCTATTACTTTTTTTGACAAATCAGTAGCATGACTCATAGCATCAGGACACTTTGAGCAAAAAGTTGATGGTACTGTACACTACACTTTGACTTGAAAAATTATTTGCTTCATAATAATGTAATCAGTAGATTATGAACTGATTACTTCAAGTTCCTTAGCTACTGCTTCATTAAAATTGCTTTAGAAAAAGAAATTTTAACCAGATTAAGATTGCTGATATATTCAGCAACACTAAACCCAGCAATGTTTAAAATGAACGTAAAATATAACGAAATGTTTTCAACCATATAAAAGAATGCTGCACATATTTCAATATACAGACTATACTGTTACTACAATTAACTTTCTTTTTCAGACTGCTTCAGTATAGATAAGTTAAAATTATATATTCCAACAAACATTTGATTTCTTTCAGGATTAAGAACTTTGAAACAACAAAGTATTACAGACATAATATTGGAAAAAATAAAATTTATGCACAGAGAGTCTAATTCTTGTAATATTTATTCATGTGTTTTACTGACATTCAGTGAAACCGTGTATGTGAATGAACAAATGTACAAGCAGGCACTAAAATATTCCAGTTAGACATGATTCCAGTATTTTAGAACAAAAAATTAAGAATGCCATGGCTAATCAAGGACAGATGAGTGACAAACTGCTGCACTCCTTTTGCATAGCTAGGTTTTTTGGGAGATAAAGCTTGCAGAGAAAGAAGCTGCTCATATGGGTATAAAAATCTCCGAATTCCCTTTTAATATTTGATTCTCACCAAGAACACTGGAAAGCAAGTCTGGGACATCAAGGCAGTGAATTTCTTCTTCTTTTAGCAATGAAACGCTCGATTATAAATTTTGTTAAGTTTCTATCAAAATATTTAAAAAAAATTAAATGGAAATGTTTTGTATTCTGACCTGGACAGATATGCAGGGAACAAGCATCACAAAACTATTGAATGCTATCACAGGTCAGTGTGTTTAGTTTATACCTAAATGTTTCACCATTAATTATAGAAAATTCTAAATATATTTGGTCCAGCTCTACTTACAGATGTATTATACCAAAGAGAAGTACTATTGGACACCACTGAACACTTATGGTCAGGTTTCCAAAAGGAATGAATGAGTCCTGTAATATTTGCATGTTCTTCATCTGAAACAAGTAAGTACACCTGTAAGATCCAAACAAAGGGATGTTTTCTGAGATTTTGCTTGTTTTTCTCTTCTCTTTTTCCTTTCCTACATATTTGGAAGCAGAATCATAGAATCAGCCAGGTTGGAAAAGATCTCTGAGATCATCAAGTCCAACTCCTTATCCGCTGCCACCGCGGTTACTAGACCATGGCACTAAGTGCCACGTCCAGTCTCATCTTAAAAACCTCATGGGACCTCCACCACCTCCGTGGGCAGCCCATTCCAATGCCTGATTACCCTCTCTGTAAAGAATTTCTTCCTAATATCCAGCCTAAACCTCCCCTGGCACAGCTTAAGACCATGCCCTCTTGTCTTACTGATAGATGCCTGGGAGAAGAGACCAACCCCCACCTGGCTACAACCTCCTTTCAGGGAGTCGTAGAGTGATGAGGTCTCCCCTGAGCCTCCTCTTCTCCAGGCTGAACAACCCCAGCTCCCTCAGCCTCTCCTCTTAGGACTTGTGCTCGAGTCCCTTCACCAGCCTTGTTGCCCTTCTCTGGACCTGCTCCAGCACCTCAATATCCTTCCTGAACTGAGGGGCCCAGAACTGGACACAGTACTCCAGGTGTGGCCTCACCAGCATTGAGTACAGGGGAAGGATCACTTCCCTGGATTGTGTTGGCCACACTGTTCCTGATACTGAAAGTACTAACTACTCATGCTGGAAAATAAATATAGAGTCTTACTAAATTTTCCATCTGAGTTTGATATCTCAGTCATAACTCAGCAGTGGGGGTGATCCCTTTTCAAGATCTAGACCAGTAATTTATTTTTCCAATTTTCAGTTACTACTGAAGCATGATGCTATCCAGTCTACTGACTACCCACAAATTCTCCTCCTATAAATTTTTAACCTTTTTTTAAAAATTATACCTGCAAACAAGATCCTGAAAAAGCTATTTTAAGAACCCGCTTCTCTTGTGGTGAGCAATAAGATTACAGGGAAATTCTTAAAGTGCTGTACTCCAAAAAAGGAATTTTGACATTCAGTCTGACATGCTGGACTGCAAAACTTCCATATAGAGAGCAGTCAAATGATTACAGACAACATGGCACTAAATATGGAGAGAGCTTAAAAAAATATTTTGAGTTTTCTTTCTCAAGTAGAAGTGAACTAACAGTTTAGATGTGACGGAAAGAGAAATGCATTTCCGCTCTGTCCTATGCGCTTTTAGTCCCTATTCTCACACTCATTTAAAAACATCTCATTTAAAACATTTGTCATGTTCTGTGATGATCAAAATCATTCAGCTAGACTAGTAGTTGTTAAAGGAAATCTAAAACACCTTTTATACAAGGGTGTTCTGGAGTTCTCCAAGTCCTCTTGCAGCGAAGACCAAACTGCATTCTGAAAAAAAAGGCAATATTCAAAGCAGACAAAGGTCAATTTCATCAACAACACCTTTTCCTTTAGGATTTTCTCAGAAATCCTCCAAGGGGCTCAATTCCCTGCCAGAAGTAATTCTATCCTAAAAGTGACCAAGAAAAGATATATATTTCTTTTATATTTACATCTTATACATATTTACATTTTTTTTAATATTACAGTTGTCGAAGGAAAAAACCCTAGATACAGATTTATTATCTGCCTTTAAATGTCCCAACAGTACTTTTTTCCCTTTGAAAAAATTTACAAGTCCTCTTCCGGTCCTTTGAAAGCTAGATACAGTCCACGTTCCGCAGGCCACCATCCGTAGTCAAAGCACCAAATCTAAACCAAAAAAATAGTATTTTTTTAGGTGGTTGACTAGATTATAGAATCAACCTTTAATTCATTAGTGGGGTATCCTTTCCCTTGCCACATGCCAACAGAGGCATTTGTACCTAACTTTTGTACATGCAAAGAGAGAAGAGAGGATGCTTTGGTCCAAGTATGGGACTGGGGGCGGGGAACAAAATATAACTAATTCATCTTGAAGCTAAACTCTGCTCTACCAGCAACTTACCATGGAGCTTTCAGGAGATGGTTATTTTTATATATTTTATCATCATCACAGAAAAAAAGCAAAGTCAATCTGTATGTGATAACAACAACACCCTCTCACAGGATTATAAGAAATGTTTGCCTCTTCGCTTTATTTAAGCAATCTGAAAACTGCAAAATCATTCATTCAGATTGGTAGAATTCCACAGTTGTTAAAAATAATGTCTAAAAGCCAGGAGTTAAAAGACATCACTGGATTGCTGCAACAGTGTTCAAATTCAGGACTGATCTGTCTATGCAACAGATATTTTTATTAGTTAAACCTAAGTAACATGAAACAAAAATGCCACAAAAATGGCTATGTCAGAATGATTTCACAGCAATGTTCCAAGGGTTTGAATAATTTTTTTTTGTTACACCTCATTTCAATAGTTCAAAATATATTCACAGTTAAAGACATTATAGAATTGTCCCTCAGTTTAAATTCTGGATCTACAAAATGTACCAAATTAAGCCTGTTTTAGTATCAGCCCCAAAAGGGATAACAATTGCTTGCCTTTCCAAAATGTGATTGTTCTCAGCCAGCTCTTTAACAACACCTTCCACCTCCTCCTTTAGTTTCTTCATACTGTAGTAACCAGAAGCAAAAGAGAGGTTACAGTTTTTATATGGAGTTACCTGCTCTGATCACTCACCACCACGCAGCTTTCAGCAACTTGCCATTACATACAAAATAAGGACAGATAACAGTTGGTTATTTACCAAAAGATAAACTAGTGCTGTCCCTTACTCACTTGCAAATCTGTACCACCACTTCAGCAATATAAAATTCTTGATCTTAATACAGCAATCACTAAGTCACCTATTTTTTTTTCTATTTCCCTGCATAGAAGGTATACAATATTACATCAATGCCATTAAGAAATTCTTACCCAAGGGTCATTTCCACTAATGTGTTTGAGCTTGGATAGACTGTATTTATTGTATGTTTCATCCCACTGGAAGCTGCAAACATTTTCTGTGGCAGAGCATCTTGTAACTGTAACAGATAAACAGGAAATTTAAGTTACAATATAAGTTGTCATGTATATCTTGATGCCCACCTTAAAATCCTTCTTTAAATTCTCCATTGCTATGATACCTGATAAAATCATTACAGTACTAAGGTGGCTGATATTCTCAAGCTGAGATGATCATGGCAAGTTTTGTATTGACACAACTTATAGTTCCCTGATTTGTTCCATCTTCTTGTCTAAAACTCTCACAATAAACTCTCAAAAGGAAGTATTATATATTTGTTATGTTTGTAAATATCCTAAGGCAGCAGGATCATAACAGTGACTTTGGTGGTGCTACTAAAATACAAATAAGAAGTAAAATGCTGCTCTTCACCATTACTTAACTGATTTTAAACTTATCCAGTGCTTTTCTTTCATTTATCTTACCTCTCTAAAAAATAATTTTACCACATGAAAATACTCTAATTCTCTCAGTTTTGAGGTAATTCTGTTAAGCTTGCATCCTGCAGAGTCAATGCCCAAATTTTAACAAAACAGTTTCTTTCATGTCACCAGCAGCATTAGTATAACCTATATCCTTTAGCATATATCCCCTAAATCTTAATTATGGAAGTAGTGTTTTTATGCTCCATAAGAGTATTAAGATAATCCTCTAGGTCCTCAGATAATGTTATGGTAACAGTTGCACAGAACATTTCTCAATGAAACCACATCCATTTGCACAGATTTTTTTGGGGAGAAATGCCAGCATTACCAAAAAAAACCCCAACACAAATCAGCAAAAAACCACAAACCCTGCCAAACTCCCGCCCCAAATCCACCCCCCCCCAAACTCCAAAACTGTCATGATTCAAATAATAACACCACTCTCTAGTCCACTCTGACATCAGCAATGAAGTTACTAGAGACCACACACTGCATCCATGAAGCCCTGTATTTTAATACAACTGCATTAATATAAGACTCACTATAAACACTATTGACATTAAAATATGTGCAAGTCTTTTATCTATGCAAATACTTCACATAACTTTGAAGCATTCTACCTCATTTATATAGTCCTGGTATTTGGACACCTCTTCTTCAATACCAAAACACTGGTTGGTGAGAGCCAGTAACTGTTTCCTTGTGTGAAGCATTTTCCTAAGGGAAAAAAAGTTTGCTTTAAAGAGCTGCCTGTATAACAGTGCTACAGTGAATAATACCAAGTATTAAAGAAATCAATAGCTTGCCTTGTCCAGTCCTCAGCTTTGTCCAAAAACGTATCATACTTGCTGACACATTCATCTTTGAAAAGAGCTATGGCTTTTGTAGCATGCAAATACAGCTTCTGCCTGCAACACAGAAACAACCAAAACAGTGTTGTACTGCATTGAGAACCCATTCTTCTAACCTACTTTCTGAAATTTGGAAAAGAGATTTGTGAACTAAAAATCTGTTCAGCCACCTTTATTCATCCTGTGGCAATGTGTAAGAACTCAACATCCTATAGGAACTGACAGTTTATGTCTCAAAAACATTCCCTAGCAGGGAGAATTATTTGAAGCATTTAGTTGCAATTATTTGTTAAGAACAAATAGTCAGATGTCTTCTTGGAGTTAGTATTTACCCAAGCTGGTATATTTAAGGAAAAGGGATTCTAAATAGAAAGGACAGAAATCCTCATTATTTCTTATTTGCCTACTGCAGATACTTGGAACTTCCAGTATATATGAATAATCCTTTGCACTGAGTAACATATATGCAAGAAAAAGAACAGGAGTTTTGTTTCAGTCTAAATTTATGACAAGAGAAAAACACAGGCGGAAAAGGACAGGAAAGCAAAACAAAACCCAGTTCTGGTTAGTGCAGCAGACAGTAATCCCAGTGTAACTGCCTTGCCATGCTGTGCATTGAACCAGTAAGTGAAACTAAGGGATACTGGGACACTACAGTCTGTTTCTAGTATTTCATTAAGTCTTGCATGATAGCTACTGGTTAATTAAATTCTTGCTAGAGTGTAGCTGGACTGTTATCAGGAATGCATACCTATCATTTAACTAGAAAAAAAAATTCTAATTGAGTGCTGCTCTCTTGTCTGCTTAGAGGTAAATATTACAAAGGCCAGCTCCTGCTGCTAATAGGGCACAGTCCTTAACAAAAACTACTGCCATTTCTCTCTGAGGTGAATCAAGTAAAGTAAGAGGTACCTAGGATCTCAAATAAACTTGAACAATCAATCTCAAGGAGACACTTGTAGTAGAAAATATACCAGTATTCAAACCCATGAAAATGAAGTCTATTTATTTGAAGTATGCAAGGACATGGTTTGAGTAGTAGAAAAATCTCTCTTCTGCTTCCAGTTAAACAATTTAGCTTTCACTGTGGGAAAATCAAGGGGCATGCTTGTGAGAAAACAGTGCCCTCCGCATAGCAGCTTTCTATCTGTAGTCATTAGTGAAGCCACACTCATGGTAGCAAGAGCAAGACATTTTAGAGAATTACAGAAGTGGTATCTAAATTCATATAGCACTAGAAAAGTCTAGGGAACCACTCAACTGACCAGCCACTAGAAGAATAATTATATATAAGCATCTAGCACAATTTGAGATGGAATCATAGAACGGCTTAAGTTGGAAGAGACCATAAAGATCACCAATGTCCCTCTCATGGAACACTGCCAGGGATGTGGCAGCCACAACTTCTCTGGGCAACCTGTTCCAGTGCCTCGCCACCCTCACAGTAAAGAATTTCTTCAATATATCTAACCTGAATTTCCCCTCTTTCCGTATGAAGCCATTATTCCTTGTCCTATCACTACAGTTTCTGATGAAGACTCCCTTTCTGTCTTCCTTGTAGGCCTCCCTTCAGCTACTGGAAGGCTGCCATGAGGGTCTCCATGCAACCCTCTCTTCTCCAAAAAGGATACCCCGCCCTGCTTATGACCATCTGTCCAGAAAGGTTTAGATTACCCATTTGACTTGTGTCCTACCTGCCTGTCTCAAATACCTTAGGGCAACTTAAATGGCATAGGGAAACTGTGTATGAGGAACCAAATCGTTCCTGAGACCAAGTGTAGCAGTATAGAGTCAGTGGAGCCTAATGGGAGTCTAGACACTCAGGTTACACAAAGACACTTAATGTGGCCACTTCTCATAAGTGACAATTTTAAACAGGCATGGAAAACTGCATTAAAATTTATTTTTCAAGCTATATTTCCTGGAAGATTAAATCATGCTAGAATTTCATTCAGCTAGTACTACATTTTTTATCTGCAGAAAATTATCTCTTTGTAACTTTAATTACTGAGGGCTGTTTCCTCCCTGAAAAAAACCAGGAGAAAAAGTGTACTTCCTATATAACAGTTATGCCCAGATAATGAACAGGTATTTCACATTTAGAAGGCCTATCAGTGAAGAAATGCCACAGCTAAAAAGCACCTCATATCATATCCTGGCACCTCTATGTTTTAGGATAGTTAAAATAAGTCTTTTACAAAGCAATCCTAAAGAGGTTATAATTTACAATAAAAATCAGCGGAAGAGGTTACTGGCAAGAGTACCTGAAGGACCTGAAAGTAATCATGGTATTTCCCAAAGTTAACTTCAAAACTTACTTGTCAAACTTGTGAATTTGTTCTTCATTATAGGGAAGCCCTAGGATCAGAGCAGATGACAGACATTACCAGTTCAATTCTGTTAGCTGTATTTATGCAAAAGTCAACTGAGTTTACCCATTTCCTATACAGTTTCCTTCTCCTGATAGGTAAAAGTGGTCACTTACTTTTTTTCCTCCTCTCCAGTCTTGCAATTGAAATTTATGATATTAATAGAGGTGTTTCATTCATACGGGCTTTAAGATGATATCACACAAAGAAAGACCAACAGACATATTCACTGTGGCTAACTCTCCATACCTACCACAAATATCCTAGTCAAACAAAGACTGATCTGTCCTTTACATTACATTTTTTGTTAAAGTGAGTCAAATAAGTTACTTACTTCGTTCTGCTTTGTCTTTTTTGAACTGATAATAAATGTCTGTGATGGAAGATAGCAGCGCCTGCAGCCTTTCTGGACTAGAGTGACAAAAGAAGAAAATGAGACTTAACACATAAACTCAAGTACCTATTAATGAGTTTTATGAACCTCAACTCAATGTAACCAATAAATACAGTTACTCACTTTCTGTCTTTTGGATGCATGCCTTCCTGATTTGCCCAGCCATCAGCTAGTAAACCACCAGGAGAGAGTTTGGCTTTGATATCTTGAAGACTAGTTTCTATTGTGCCCTGAGAGCTGGAGAGCTACATAAGAGCAAGAAAATTCAATCTTACCACTAGATAAAGTGAAAAATTACTCAAGGATTACTTGAGTCCAAACACATTAATACTATAGACCCATTCATTTCAATGATCTCCATTAAAGAAATAAGTCCAATTATCTGCCTAGGCTTTTCTAAAAGCAAATAAAGCATGGTATTATTAAAGAAAGAATCTTATCTGATGGTGGCATTTCTGTTAATTTAGTTAAATTTTATTATCTTTCAACAGTAAGTTTCAACCTTTCATATATCCCTGATTTACTTCTACACTTGTTCTTTTGGTTCCTTAAGAATTCATATATGGACTATCCACATAATTCATACCTTCCTTTCTCTGCAGTTCATACAACATTCAAAATAAAAATGCACTCATCACCTTTTGCTTTTACAATGAAGAACTTTATACCTGCTCCCAGGACACCAGTGTGTAAAATTATTTTCAATTTTTCCTTACTTGTCTGGAAACATCATGCGCATTTCAAATCAGATCACTCTGATGTGTGTTTGTCTATGTAACATTTTAGAAAGCCAACAAAGTAGTTAAGAATTTCTTAAGGAAAGGGAAAATAACAGCAAAGTAAAATATATTTCCAGGTTATAATTCTTTACTTGGGTATTTTAGAAAACGAGACTGTATTTTCAGGAACTTATTTTCACTATACTGAGCTAATATAAAAGGTTTTACCCTGTTTTCAGAAAGATATTCACATTACTGTGGACATTTTAACAACAACTGGGCAGTCTAGAAATTACATTGAAAATTCAGAGTTGTTTTTCACAGAAACCTGTGTTATCATGTATTTGGCTTTTTCTTTAGAAACACCATTTTCAGAATGACACAGAATCTTTGTAAGATACTTACACGCAACAGCTTTGTGTGTATCTCTGAAATTTCATCCACTTCTGATGCTTCCAAGTTGATCTGCATCAAATTCTCATATCTGACCACCAAAAAAACCACAGTTAGAGAAAAAAGACAAGCAGTGAACACACTCAAATACTTTTTGAATCCAGGCTGTAACAATAACCGCCTTTTCTTGTCTATAAAATACAGACTCTGTGAAACAACAACCATGAAACACTGACAATGTTATGCAGCCCTTAATAATAGAAATATTTTAGTTTTGAAAAAAATATTCCTTGAGTTTTTTTCCTATGTTGGAACTGTAAAAAAGAAATTTGCAGCTTCCATTCCTGAATTCTTTAGTCTAGTCTCATTACTTGTACTTCACAGGAAGTGGAGGACTACTTCCTTTAATCAAATAACTTTTGAAATGTTACCAAACTAAAGTTACTTAAAGTAGTCAATGACACATAAACTAATACTTCAGTGCACCAAAATGCTTTTCTAAGGAAACTTACTGGAAAGGCTGTGCTACTGAAAGTTTAAAGGATGGGATAGTAAGACCATCTGTTCATACTGATGCTTTCCATATGACCATAGCTTAAGTGCCAACTTATTCAGGACAATATTTTTCCTGTTGAGTCTCAGGTACCTTTTATTTTTAAAAATACAGTAACAACCAGTTCAACTGCTTTCAAAAATACATACTTTGCTCAAGTTCAATACTTCATTTATCTTTTAAAATAAAAACTTTGCATTGTCATGCTTCAAAGCATAGCCTTGAAAAGGAAGGACAAACAAGAGGACATGTCCTTTGCTAGCCCCATAAAAGTCTTCTGAAGTCAAAAACCTGAAAATCCTGCCCTTTCTTGAGGCCAAAAGATGAATGCAAACACATTCCTGTTCAACATGAGAACTACTCCCGTTCATAAATGAACAATTTTTTTCACATTGCTGCACTAGAGTTACAAATGAGAACCTACACTGTTTCTTCTGAGCTCTAAGGGGCTTCCTTCTGGCACAATGAAGGAAAAAACTACATGAACCAAACACAGAGTTCAACAAAAACCAGCCCTGCCAACTAGTGGAAACTGGCTTGAAGAGGCATTTGGATTACCACCTTAATGATTTGTAACTAGGCTACACAGGTATACTGTTACCTTGCTAGCTACCAACTTCACTAGTTTCACTGTTGTGTTTTTGGTTTTTTTTCTGAAGCAAATATAAACCGACACAGTTGGGTTTTAAGGTATGTTTGGCACACACAGAGCAAATCTGTCAAATCCTTGGGTATCCATAATTACTACGTACAAGGTGTTCAATTTGCACATGCATTAGCAGCTCCAACAGGCTTAAGTCTATTCTTAAGTCTACTCTGAAAACCCACTGGCTATAGATGTGTGCACTAATCATCCTATGACCAAGACAGCGTTTGGGCAAGACTGCCACTAGGTTGCATAGGATAACTACACCCATAGGAGAATCCTAAGAAGGGATGGTGTTTGAAGTTCATATCAGACTGCATAAAACACCTCAAAGACAGAGCTACTGCTAGTTTGTGGAAAGACTGAACAAAACACTGTGAGGATTCTTTAAAAGTGGAAAAGAATGTGACTGTAAAGTGGACATTGAGTGGAATTTGAAGACTAAACAAAAGTAAGAGGAGAGAAAAAATGATACTTGGAGAGAGAACTGAACAGTGAAATCCTATCTCCTTCAACTAGGACCTGACTGAGAGAGGTAGGGCAGAACGGTCTGACCAATGGAAAACATTTGCTTCCTCAACATGAAAGACAAGAGAAATAAGTGTCTTCTCTGATCTTTTGAAACCTGGAGGTCTCTTATGCTAAAAGACAATTCTTTAGTTGCCTAATTATAAATTGTGTCAGTTTTACAGGAAGAGCTCTAAAAATCTTTCTGCTATAGAGACATAAATGGGTCCATATGGGCAACATTAAGATTCTGTGATAAAGACCTCTCCATTTGAATTAGCCAAAATAGGTAGAAATAATGGTCAAGCACTTAAAATAACGACAGATGTAGAATTTCCTGTGCAGTTTATTTCTGGTGTGCTACAAGCATGCACCGTGATCTAGTGATATCCTAATGCAGCTTTGTCTTCTGGGGGTGTTTACCTTTTTCTTTCTAAATTGGGTGAGGGGTGGGTTTGGTTTCATTTGCAGCTGCTCTATGTTATATTTCAACAATAAAACTTCTTCCATGCAGAACATGCTATGGTCTTAAAGCTGTGAAAGGGGCAGTATTTAATGTCATACACAACCAAACTCCGTGACAAAAGCACTAGTGAAAGGAAAGCTACTCAATTCTTTGTCCAGGCTTTACTATAGCTTCTAGAGTCAACAACAGCAAATGAGCTGAGTCAGAGAAGAAAAGAGAAAAAGAACACACACAATTACTACTCAATAGTAATTATTTGTTCTCACTAGGTTAAGCAGCAAAATTAATACTCTGAGTAAAAGCATACAACTAAATTTGCTTAAGTCATTGCCATCAGAAAATCCATGCTGATTCAAATTTAATTTTTATACGCAAAACCCCTGCAAATAACCATAACTTGAAATACTATTGTCACTAAAAATGATAATGCAAAAATCAATGAATTTGGTGTAGTGCTTCTACTCACATTTTCTCAGCTTTTTCAATGTTTCTGCTGCAGAAATCCAGCCTGATGACAACCTCTGTCTTTTTATGAGCCATTTCGTTGTAATCATCCTTGATTACTTCACTAAAAAAGTGAAGCATTAGTCCATAACAAAAGCATTCAACTGCCATCCTACTAGCAATCAGTAATAGAACAATATACCTGCAGTAATAACTATCACTAGGAATTGCTTTCAGTTAGAAATGCATTACATAATCCTCATATAAAGATACCTTGTGCAAGTTGTTCAATTGTCCCTGCATGTTACCAGAGGTTAAACTTAACTTATCCACAGAAGAAAGTGAATTTGCAAAGAGCTTAACCTTATTGTCAGAAAAAAAATATTTTTGTTTCCCTAATAACTGCAAGAAGGAAAAAAATTCAGAAAGCCTATTCATATTCAGGGAGTAAGGAAAACCTCCCAAGACAGAGAGATCACAGAATTATGTTTTGATAATAAAGGCATACCTCAATTAAAAAAAAAAAAGGCACAATGAAATGCAATCAATTGCTTACATTAGCCATCGTATTCCTTTTCGCATCAGCTCCTGGTAAAGTAGCAAAGAACTGGCAACTCTACAGGCATAACATACAATACCTGTCACGGACTGAAGAAAAAATAAGCAACATAAGAACTAATCTGGCATTCTCTTTACTATTGCTTCAAGTCAATACATCACAACAAAGCAAAACAGATTAATAAAAGAAAGAGCAACATAAGGATGGTGCTTTAAAATGCATAATTTGGCCTAAACCTTAGTCAGAGACAACTCATTATGGAGGCAGAGCTAAACATGGTAGTGAGTTTTTCCAGTTCAGGAGTTTTACGAAAATGACCAAAAGAATGAAACATGCTCTACTTGTCCCCCACAGATTCTGAAAATTTCTAAGAGGTAACAGAAATTCCACCCTTTTGCAGAGTCCTAGAGACTCCTCTCTATTGAGAGAAAATGACAGTTATTTTTCTAACATTAAATTTTGCATCATCACAGCTGATGTTATGAATCTTCTAGCTACTTCAGGACTCCACAGTGTCAGGCTCCTTTTCCCCTAACACTGAATTATGCAATAACAGAGCACTTGAAATTTAGAAGACTGGACTTTGGGTTTGTTGTTTGTTTTTTTTTTAAATATACAACCATACTTTGTACGCAAAGTAAGGCTTTAATACGCTTTTAGATCCTTTGTTAACACATATATTTCTGTCAATCAGAAATCCTCATTAGCATATTAAAATAGTTTTATTAACATTATTCATCTGAAAATTGAGTAGCTTTCATCTCAGTATCATTATCTGAGTCAGGTATATAAAATCAAATCAAAATTACTCACTTTAGCCATACTGGCATCCCCATCCAAATCATAACGTTGATGTACTTTTGGAAGTAAAACTGAAATATAAAACACGTATCTGTAATTTTTTGTTTTCCATAAGACTTCAAAAGTTCAGATTGTTTTTCCTCCCCACCCTGTACACTGTTTTTATGCGTATCTACATGGATTTTAATCTAATCTGTTACTGCAATGCCTTTTAATGTCATGTGGTTCTCATGCCTTTGTCTTAAATGCTTTTAATAACTTGGTATCTTCAGCAAACTGACCTTCACTTCCTTTTACAGACTCACTTTTGAACTTGCTGCACAGCACAAATCTCATGCAGGTCTCCACTAGCAATCTCTCTCCGTTGAGAAAGCCAACTGTTTAGTTCTGTGCTTCAGCCTTTTGTTTGCCTGCATGAGAGACCATTCTCTTTTTATCTCATGGCTGCTCAGTTTCACTGAGACTCTTCAGGGCAGGACTTCACCAAAGAGCTTTTTTAAACTTCTGGTAGCCTCTGTCAGCTGAATCTCCTTTGTTCTCATGCTCAGAGCCCTCAGAAGGCTCTGACAAAATATAAAGGCCCTGTTGATCCTTCCACAAACAGCTCACCTACCCACACTTTTCAGCACTTCTGTGTGAGTGCCAGCTGGCCTGAGCAGTCAGTATTTAGGACATATTGACAAAAGCAACACTGATCTCTCAACTGAAGCCATGGCCTCCACCTCATCACATACAAAAAAGGGCTCTGGCATAGGTTCCTCTATAAGCCTCTCAATGTTAAACAGAAATTCAAAACCTTGATTTCTTTTTTTTCCTGTTATAGCATTACCTTATCTTCTGAGTAAATGTAAATTATTAAAACCTTCTCTGGGAACTGAAAGGCTAACCATAGCCATGACAAATATAAACAAAACCTGATTTTCCACTTAGTGAGTAATGGAACAAAAGAACCATCTTTGAATTACCTTCTATAATGTTCCTTTCTACTTGTTAAAAGTGCTATGCTTCAAAAAAAAACTCAGAACTTAATATGCACGACTACATCTCAACACACAAATGCTCAGGTTCAAAGCCCTTGGAACATTACAAGCACCTGCTGTTTCTGTTCAAATGTTCTGGATACTTAGAAGTTTTGAAAAACATTGGATCACTTTCTTAGAACTTCAGGTATCAACAAAGAAAAATTTCCAATGCTATTTCTAAGACATAACGGACATAAAACGATTAAATTAAATAACCCAAACGATTACAAAAGATAGCTATAAGAAAGGGGAAACTGCTTTCATATATATACCTTCTTCATAGATTAATCCAACAATGTTGACAGGTTCCCTGCTCAATACAAAGATAGGATTCTCCTCAGTTGTTCTGGGGAAGTGCTGTGCCAATCTGCCAGGCTCTAGTATTAAACGCCGACCTTCATATATCAGTTCTTGATTCTGAGATGGAATTTTTGTCTGTTTGTAGACCAATTCATGAAATATAGCAGCTCTGGAATACAAACAATATATTCAGTAGTAGTTAGACTTACTATAGTTCAACAATTCAGATTCTGAGTTTAAATAAAAACTGCTTTTACTTCTGATTAATTAAGAACTGGTTTTACACATAAAGCATTTGACTTGTAACTAGGAAAAAAAGCAGCATGCTGCCTAAGGCTCCAGGTTGCTCTGTTACAAAAATAAATGCTATTTCCTGCAAAATATCAAACTTCCTTTCTACCTCTGATTTTCCAAAGCACGTCTGTGTAAACAAACTTGCTCTGGTTTGAAGGTCAGTAAAAACAGGCAACAGCAGATGAGGGGAAGGAAGCATACTTAGGTTTTATCAGGCATACCCTTTTCTTCAGAGGAGACGGATGGTCCCTCCAAAAGAAAAGTCTGGTGTTTTACATGTTAAAAAAATTTTAAAAATTAAATTCATCCTGTAAGCTAGCAGACAACCAGATTGTTTCCTAAAGCAACAGTGATAAGGAAGACCGAAGACACTCTGGAATTCTATTTCCAGCAATCAGTGGATACAAGGCATAAGAATGTGTAACACTATACCCCCCTCCCCCCCAAAAAAAACCCACAAAAACCCACCACAGGAAGGACCAGTTTGCCTCCTGTGCAGCAGCAGTACGCTACCACTTCTTAATACTACAGCTAGGTCATACATAATCATAAAAGTAAATAATAATAATAAAATAAATTTTAAAAAATAAAGTAAAAGGAGCAGCTTGAGCTACAAGCAAGATTTCTCCGCAAAAACAATATATGGGCTTTCTCAAAATACAAAAGACAGAACAGAAAACTTGAAAAAAACCAGAACTGTATTTATACATTTGATGAAATAACAGTATTTGTGTTCGTGTATTAGAGAATAAGATATGGTCTGTATTATCTGTAATAAGGCAGAGAAAAGGCATTTATATTTGTACACTTTAAACCTTTTAACATCAGCACTTAATGGCCATAAAGTGAACCCCATATAACTTAAGATCCTAAACTGTACCAATTATCACTTCAGAACCCCTGTGAGAGTTTTGCATCAGATAGAGATGATGTGTGCCTTTTGTGTTCTTGAGAACAAGATAAGAAAAGCGAGATCTGAACACAGTCTGTAGAAAATTACTTTGTAGATAAGTAACATATACAAATGTGGGATGAGTTGGTCTTCATTGTGAAAACAGACACATTGCTAACAGGTCAAGGATTAAGTCTCTGTTCTGTCAATAAATAAGACCAAGTTTAAGATCCATTGATTCAATTACTTTATTTTTATTTTTGGTCAACATGCTTCTATGCACTGTGACCACACAGAATAATTGCATCCTTTCACTTCCTCAGATAAACTGCCAAGGAAAGGCTACTGAACTTGTAACACCAGTGATCTGAGGTCACAGTGCTGTTAGCCTGAATAAGAGCACAGTAATGAAAACAGAGAGAGAGAACACTTACGTATTATAGTTGTGAATATAAACTTTGTGCAAGGTCATCTGCTGTAACGAAAATATGTGGATTATTATTCGGTGCAGTATGTCACTTGTCTCTGCAAAAAACTGGTCAAATCCCCAGCATTTTTCCTGGTCTGCTTCAAGAATATTCGCAAGGACAGGTGTGAGGAGAACTTGCAGACCCCTAGAGGACACCAGGCAGAGATAAGACAACTTGGATCTACTTGGAACTTTTCACCTTGTAACCTATTGCAACACTCTATTTGGCTTGTCTCATGAATGCAAATCTCTTATCCCTTGAAGGTCAGTGCCTTTTTTCCCCCCTCTACTGAGCAACAAAATGTTCAGCAGTAATGTCCATCATTTTTCATTACTACACAAACTCTCTCTTTCCTTTTTAGGCTCAACTATCACATGTTTTTTCTTTATATTTGGCAAATTTCACAGACACTGCAAAAATGACATGCAATTAAAGAAGTCTAGACTGCAGAGCCAAGGTCACCTTTTATCACTGCTGTAGCCTTTTACCCAGCTCATCCCACATGTGCACTTACCGCAGTGTATCACTTTGAAGGAAGCTACTGCCATTTATGGTTTGCTGGCAGAGCTGCTTGTGTGAGCACACTATGTTGTTTTCAGTCAAAATCAGCTGGGTTAGCAAAGACTCATTATTTAAATGAGTCAACACTAAGAATTCATCCTGATTGAGATGGGGCTAAGTAAGTACTCCACACATGCAGCTCACATGCCACAAAGAAAAATGAGCATACTATTGCCTTACGGTCGGTACTATTCTAAGAGAAAGGTCAGCTTAAATTTCTTGCATTTCTACTTTGAGTATCTGAATTCCAAGGAACTTTATGCATCCTACTCTGGTGTTACCACGAACAACTTCCCCCAAGTTCTAACATTATGTACATATCAAACCTGAAACCGGTGGTAAAACTGGTAACATTTTGAGGCAAGCTCCAGTGGCTTGCAAGCACACTGACGACCCCTTTAGAGGCCAGCGGGTGCTGTGCTCAAACTCACTTTAGTACTAAACTTATAACAGTAAATACTGTTTAAATCCTACTTAAAAATATTACTGTGAACAGATGTTTAATGAAAAAATCTGCTTTATTATTTCAAGCAGTTCAATTACATGGAATAAACAGAGGAAACAACTGAGCAGTATCATGAAAAATACATACAAATTGCAAGTTCTGTACACTGTAAACTAATGAATTGATAAAAACCAGACTTTGACTCTTACACCTCTTACAGAACTACATATTTGGCTTTCAGAAAAGTTTGTTTCTAGAGTCGGTTCACAGACGACTTTATTTTCCTCCTTACCATGAAAGAGTAGTAACTTTAAAATACTGAAGAAGTCTCAGGAAGATAAAGAGGTTAAAGGGTTATGGGAGGTGTTTTTAAGGTCATACTGAGATTATATGTTCCATGGCTCTTCCTACTGAATATTATGAAGCAAAAATATGATGATAAAATTTAAGATACTAAATGTTAAAATGTGCTGATGCGACTTTTTCCTAGCAAAAAGTAAGCCTCTGAACTGTCTTTTATTATCATTTCCTTCCTACTGCCTAATCTTTGTCATGTCTTAAGCCACATTCTTGCAAGAAGGGAGAGCCATCAAAGTTATTGGTTCTTCATATTCATTCCTGAAGGTGGAGAAAATACAGTAATAATCTTTCTTCTACTCATACCACTTCAAATTCTCAGGTGCCAATTTGTAAATTAGCAATCATAAAACTATTTGAACAGATTGGAAGAAAAGATACTTGATAACCTAATATCAGACTGTACTGATGTACCGAAGAGTTTGAAGAAAAAAGGTGCATCAGATCTCTGTTCCAAAGACACGATCCGGAGAAAATAATTCAACAAACGCAATCAATTAGCACTGAAGCATTTTGTGAACAGTTCAAACTTACTTTGAGAGACTACAAGAAATAGGCATCTCCCAACTCCACTCAATTGGTCCATTTTCTGCTTTCTGTATTCCAGAAATAGCTCCTGAAGGTTTTCCAGTGATTATTTTATACCTGCAAAACATTACAAAAATAATAGACTTCAACTACTACCTCTTACACATATATAGCTCTAGTAACTTATCCTCAAAGGGCCAGCAATTATATAAATCTAAACAACAGGTTGGCCTAAATTTGTAGATGATGCAGTAATTGAAGTTTTGCTTACAAGCTGACAGAACAGTGCTAAAAGAGCAAAGAGTGAAAAGTTATGCTGGAGAAACAAATTTGTCTACCTCGGGCTTGGGGATGAATCTGGGAGATATTTCCAGCATACTGAAGAAAATCAAAGTTTTTCACAAGTGTTAATTAATCAAAGTCAATTTAGTTCAACTTAGACATTAACATAACTAAATTCTAGCATGTTCCACAGCAAGAGATGAAGTTTAGCCACCACCAAGTGGTTTGGGGATAAAGAAGAAACATCTAGAAATCTGGATACAATTCAGTATTGTCTAATTTTGTACTGCACAGGCCAGTATTTCTCAAACTTCTCATTAAATGAATCAGGAGCAACAGGCTTTTTGCAACAGAAAATTTCAGCTGTGCTTTGTCTTTTTGGAGGACAAGGTACATACAAAAGATATGTTCCTTGCTTATCTCTCAAGCAGCAGCAATGACAAGGGTGCCTGCAGGAAAATCACAAGATGGGAAATTTCTTCAACTAAGAAAACTGGAGTCAGCTTTACAAGGAATACTGTAACAGAGATGTTATTGGTGTGTTAGAGCTCCCAAGTACCACCTTGTTTTATTTTTCAAATGCAACACACAGAACAACAAAATAGAACTAGACTAAGATGAAATAGGAATCAATGCAGTCATCATGCCATAGACATAGCTTCTGTTTCCCATTCAGAAGCTATCCCTGTTATCTTCAGCCACAGTCCACAACTGTACTAAAATGTTAGTCTCATGGGTAATGCATGCATTTCAAGACTGCCTGGGAAGACAATCATTTAAAGGACAACAAAAATTTACAGCACTGAAAGCCAATTTCAGAATACCATAATTTTGCCCGAATATCCAAGTTATATACACCACACTGTATTTCTTTCCCTTTGAGGAAATGTGTCTGACTGCCTAAAGAAAAGTGAGGGGCAGATCAAGAATCCCCACTAAGAAACTTGTCTTCAGATTAACTTTTCAAAATGCCCCTTGAATTGTTCTGCTCTCTTTGGCTATGTTTACTCTAGTTAATTGTGGCACCTGAGCGTATTGCTGTGCACTAAACTCAGTTGCCTCTACTATTAAACTCTCCTATGCTATTAGTCTGTTACCTTGTGTGCCTTTCCAGTCCAATTTGGGGGAGTGGGAGGGGGTCCAGTGGGCCATGGGGACCCCAGACGGGCGGGAGGGTGGACAGGGCAGTCCTGCTTGGAGGGTCGGGGATGGGCAGTGCGAGAGAAGTCCTGTAGTAAAATATGTCCATGGGCAGGATGGGCTCACTAGCCTTCTGGCAGTCATCCTAGGAGAAGGACAACTCTGATTCCAAAGCCGGGCAGATGGAGCTCGCTTAGCCCTGTAAGGCCACCCATCTAAGGACACGCTAATTAAACCTGCATCCTGAGGACCTCGCTGCCACCATCCAAGCTCGCTCGGCCCTGGCAGATGAACCTTAGGATTAAAGGGTGGGTCCAGTTTGCACATGCTGCGTCTCACCTAAAAAATCCATTACGCAGGCCCAAAGGTTATACCCACATTTGTAAAGCCCTGTAGCAACAGGTGAGGGATGAAACAGCAGGTGAAAGGTGCACTGGAAGCTGCAGACCCAACTCTGCATGCAGGTAGTTCAGGACATTGGTCACCTGAGACTGACCCCAGAGATGACAGTCTCCTTCAGCAGCATCCTGAATGACCAAGCAGCCTTTTTCAAGGAGAGCACTGCTTGCTCCACTCAGAGAGGGGCCTAGAAAAGGTGGCCTAACCAAAGCTCATCTCCACCCTTCACCCCGTTGGTTAACCACGGCCAACGGGCATATCTCGCATTGGCCTCTTCAGCCACCAGCACGCTTGTAGCAAATGTGGGTAGAGCCCTTCCCAAATCTTTGTACACAAAGCCTAACCATGATACACCACACTGCAACAGACCAGCCTAGTGCCATGCTGAAGGAAAGATGTGTGAAAAAACATCAGTCTTTTGGGGAAGCTCTGATACTTAATTCAGGTCTTAAGTTGCCACACAGTAAAATCCTTGTTGAAGCAGAATGTTCGTACTGATTTTGGCTGAGATGGAGTTAATTTTCTTCATAGTGTATGGTACTGTGTTTTGGCTTTGTAACCAAAACAGTGTTATTAACACAGGCATGTTTTTAGTCATTGTTGAGCAGCACTTACAAAGTGTCAAGGCCTTTTCTACTTCTTTACTGCCTCACCAGTGAGTAGGCTGGTGGTAGGCAAGAAGCTGGAAGGAGACAAAGGAGAACAGCTGAGTCCAAGGGATATTCCACACTATATTGCTCTGCAATAGAAGCTGAGGCCAGGGGTTGGAATTTGCCAGGGTAGCATTTGTTCAGGGACTGACTGGGCATCAGTTGGCTGGCCGTGAGGAACTGGGGGTTTTCTGCGTTACTTGTTTTTCTTGGTTTTGTTTTGGGTTTAAGGGGCAAGGGTTGCTGTTTGTTTTGGGATTTTTTTACTTATTAAACTGTCTTTAACTCAACCTGCTAGTTTTTGCACTTTTACTCTTCCAATTCTCTTCTCCATTCCACTACAGAGGAGTGACCGAACAGCTGTGTGGGGCTCAGCTCCTACTGGGGCTATATCACAAATTTAAAGAACATTTTTTCTTAATTATTTTCACTGTTTCAATTATTACTATATATGTGTAGGATTTATTGCTAAAAAGTATTTCACAGATTGATTTTATTTACCAACAGATAAAATTTTCCTTCTAAATTACCTACATCACTTCCTTGTTTCTACGAGGTCCTTCAAAAGGTCGGAAAGGCAAACTCCCTGTTGCAGCATGGTAAAAGGTCACCCCTATGCTCCACAGATCAACTGTTGCTCCGTACTTTTTCTGATGCTCTTTTCTCAAGACTGCTCGCTCATACATATCAGGATGCTAAAGACAAAAGAAAAAAAAAAGTTAGAACTGCTTTATGAACAATATAAAGAACAAACCCCCAGTCTATCCTTTCACAGCAGGATAAACTGTCATTCTAAACTTTCAGCTCTTCAATCAAAAGGCAAAGTTAGCTTGTATCACAGAATTTGCTTAAGCTATTCTGACAGATTATCACTAGTGTTCTAGGTATGACAGTCACTTTTACTGAAAAGTTTGCAAAAAATATTTTAAAGTTCAGCTAAACAGTGACTACTAGTATGAAACACCACTAAAGAAGAGGAGAAAGTCAGTATTCCTCTAAATGATATTGAAACAACAGAAATCAAACTGAAAAAAGATCCATAGCAGAGGAGAATATCTGTTACAGTGCACATGTGGGAAAACATGGCAGGAAGAAAATAATGCCTAAGGTTCTTGATGCTTCTCTGCCTGCCTCTCTTTGGTTAACTAAGGTGTCAAGTGAATCATAACTCCATCTAATGTCATCCAAGTAGTTCAACCACAAACTAAAAACTATCTACAGAGATGAAAGCAAAGATGCTCATAACTAGAATATTGTTGTTCCTCCTTTCACACAAAGCAACATTTTAAGTTGGACCTGGAAATTATTTCAAGGCTAATGTATTCAGAGTAGCAGAAGATGGCATGACCCAAGGTGAACAACTCCAGCAGAAAGTTATAGAAACAATTATAATACAAAGGCTTAAACACTAATTCCCAACAGCCTGACCTTCACCTATTCAACTCTAATCACAAAGGACCCCAGAGTTCAAACATTTCTTCAAGAGAAAATGAAATCATAAGGGCTTACTAAATACTCTTCTGTGCCATAGAGAGAAACAAATTGTTCATCATCTTCAAGTTCTCTTGCAGCACCAAAGTCTGTAAGTTTATAAACAGACTGACCATCTTCACCTATAACACGCATTATATTGCCTGGTTTGATGTCACGGTGCACTATTCCATTCTCACGGAGATGATTCATTCCAGCCACTTCAATTAAAAAGAAAATACAGAATTCATGTACACATTTTGACACTGACTGTGCGAACACTGAATTGTAACTGATGCTAGGAAGACACACAAGTTCTCTTTGGGAAATGGGAATGAGAAGGGACACTCAATTAACAAAAAGACCATGACCAGAGATTGGGGTTTTTTCCCCTTCAAACATCTAAATTACAGTATTTCTTGCTCTCAGTAATATCTTTCCCATAAAGTAACAGAGGAAAGTTTTGTAAGAGGTAAACACAGGTAAACTATATTTTTTTAATTTACTCTTCTGAAATTAATTATCACTAGAAGTCAGTTCAATGTGTGAAAAATAATCTTGAAACAAAGAAAGAAAAAAGAACTATATCAATGCTTTAAACAGAAATGGCTTCTTAATGCAGTTACTTATACAAACACAGACAAAAATAAAAGATGTGATTCCATATGACCATATTAATTTGTTCAATTAGTTGACAGTCATGTAAATTTATCTCTTGCTGTTTCAAGATAAACAAAACAAGTATGAGTTTGTTTCGATCAAAAAATTAAAGAGCAAAGTCTACATACCCACATCTCTCAAAACAATCAAGAACTCAGACTCTGGCAAACCAAAGGCATTAGATGGCTCCTCTAAAACTGTGTACAAACTCCCACAGGGACAAAATTCCATAACTAGTACTTTGTGTCTAGTCGTTGTCTGGAAAAAAATTTAAAAATATTAAGTCTCTGACTACTGTGACACCAATATTAGAAATTACATATAACCACAAGATCTTACTTTCAAAAAAGAAAGGAAAAAGAAAGTCTGTAGCTATATCAAAAATCTCATTCTGGTGATCATCTTCAAAAGAAGTGCAGGTGGATTTTTATATTTTTTCATGTATTCCACCTTGGAGAGGGGAAAAAACTAAGAAAGCCTCAAGTTCTAGGCACTTAGCAGGTTGACAGCAGTATTGATAGGTGGACAAATGAGAAACTACACACTAGAAAAGCTGAGAGAACCAACTGTCCTTCTTTACTCTTTACTAATCTCAGCATTCTCAGTTTTAGATCAACTACTGCAATTTATACTGTTATACAGTTTTACATGTCCTATGTCATTGTTCTAGTTGGTTGCAAAGCAAAAGTGTAAAATTGCCAGGATTACTGAAACACCTTAAACTACCACTATGTATTAAATATTCATAGGCATATATAGCTTACAAATCCTAATTCAAGATAAAGCTTAGGACAGCGGCTTCTTGAGATGAAGAATCATAACCTTTGCCTAAACACTGAAGGTGTTTCACCAACAGAAATCAAGTGTATTCTTTCAACAGCAACAACAACAAAAAAGAAAGAAAAGAAGAAAATGGTGGTGGTTGGGTTGGAGTATTTAAATCATCATGTATGTTACCATTCCTTAAAAATTTAACTATATGCTCTACAGGTTAGGATAAAACAAAGAGTTACTGTGGTTATGTCCATGCATTTCAGATCACAACTACAACAATTCATTACCTCTTCTTCGATGGCAAATAGTTTAACAATGTTCTTATGATTTAGTTTCTTCAATACTTCAAACTCTCGCATCTGAACATCCACAGGACGAAGGAAACTTATACTGTTAAATACTTTTACAGCATACAAATCCCCAGTTTTCTGTTCAAAACAAACAAACAACTCATCAAACAGAAGCAAAATATTGTATAATATAAATATTGGATAAATATAAATATAAATACAATATAAATATTGTATAATGTAAAATATTGGATAATGTCACGTAGACATTATCCAATCGCTTTGAGATCTTCTGCATATGAGCAGAACCAGACTAGAAATATTTCAAAATATTATTCTGTTTGAAGGTGAAAATTAAGATTCTACTACAAAAATCATGTGTACATTGGTTTAGTTTAATATAGACTAGAAGCAAACTAACTAGTAGAATGGAAACTCGTTAGCTCAAAAAAATCTAAGTGCTTTTAAAAAAAGAACAGTTAGCACAAGAAAGGCTACGCATTTAAGAATTACCCATAAACTTAGCTGAAAAATATTTTTTGAGCAAGAGGTAAGTTATTTAGACAAATCAATGAGAGGCAAGCACATATTACAGCTGAGGATCTTGACTTGCTTAAGTTAAGAGACAATTTCCAGTAGTTGAATGTTGTTCTCTTCTTCTTTACTGTTCTGTTTATAGTGATAAATTAGTATTTTGTCTCTTCAAAGAAGGCAGTTTCAAGCACTACGTACCATTCATGCAAAATCCTGAAGCAGTTCAAACCCACATAATAAGTGTCAGAAGCAGAGTCGTGAGCTTAATCAAACTTAAGTTCTCAAGTGGGACTAAGTCCCAACCTGCTCAGCCACCCACAGCACCAGCTGAAGATGCAACTCCTGTTGCTCTTAGGGCAAAGTCCCTCCCTGTGCCATCTCTAGGAATAAGCTTACATTAGAGTCTTGTGCAACAGACTCTTTCTAAGGACAAAGCCTTCCTGTGCTTAGATGAGGTGTGTTGTACAGCACACTTACATGCACTATGGGTGCCCAGGTAAAAGCTTGCTCCTGCTGACAATAAGCCACAGGTCACAGGCTCAGACTAGTGAGGGTGATGAGAGGTGCAACCATGAAACCATAAACTTTACAGGACAATCATTCTGCCTTGAAATTCACTCACCAAGGAAAGCACATTAACTGCTAAATTATTGCTTATGTTGTTTCACACTTAAATGTGGAAGACGGAAACACTGTAGCTTATAAATCACTTGTACTGACTCCACACAGACTATCGTTAGTATCAGGAAACACACTTTCACAACCCTGCTGATCTTCGCTTTGTGAGACACACTGTGAAATTTATAGAAATAGAATGACCCACACAAGCAAGGTCATTGTAGTCCCTCAGTAAGGCTGCAACATACACATCAGTATATCATTTACGTGGCAAAAATAATGTACTGCTTTGCGCTGATTACTCAAGGCATGTCACCAAGAACATGGTGTCCTAGACATCAAATCACTGACTTACAGACAAGGACTAACAATTTCATCCAATACCGTAAGAATATTTCACTTATGGTACAAAATCATAAAAATCACCATAACAGGTTTTAAAAGAACAGGGAAAAACAATAAAAAGACAATTTAACAAAGATATAAATCATAGACTCATGTCATATAAAAACTGGTAGGTCTTTTATTCCTATTTAAATTCTTGGGCAAGGATTATTTTTTCCATAAAACTGAAAAATAAAGGAATGAAGAATTAATCACAGTAGTATTTTACAAGGACACATAATTCAATATTAAAAACAAATCCTCAGAAATGATGACAGAACTCTAATTCAATGGACGAATATTAAAAATTAAAAACTATGTATGAATACATCTGCTTTAGGCCTAAGTCTTGAACTTTTTTTGTTGATTTTGTGAAGCTACTCACATACAAAAAAATTCAAAGTTTACATGTTACTTAGATTAGTAATTCCTCACATACCTTCTGTCGCCCTCGGAAAACATTTGCAGTAGCTCCCTGTCCTAGAATGTCAGACAACAGCCAGAGGTAATTTGAAGTGCTCTGCATCTCTGCTCTTTGATTAGACAGTTTTCTTTTTCACCTTAAAACCAAAGCATTCAATACAGTGAATTACAATTTAGTAAAATACATGAAAGGGACTTATTTTAATTAGAAGGCAAAATAAAAAACCAAATCCCAACCATAACTGCAAAGACATGTAGAATTAAGAACAACCAAGCAGAGGAATAAGAGGTGAAGCATGGAAACAAAACCAAACCCAACAATCAAAACTAATGTGATAGACACAACACCTCTCTGCATTTAAGGTCTGTACTCCCCCAACTTTGAAAAATCAACTGGAAGAGTGAAAGCTTTATAATCCCTTTCCTCTTGTACACAGTAAAGTTTAAACAATAAAGGAACAAAAACTACAGAAAAGCGTCAAAAAAATGTGCACAAGGTCTTCTAAAGATAATCAAGACCTGTAACTGAATTCCATTATTCTGTACATATGCCAAAGAATGGACATAGCAGATCTGTATACAGATCTTTTAAATCCTTTTGGCTCTGGAAGTTGCATTTCAGTACAAGTGTAAAGGAACTGGACTAACTACTCACAAATAGCTATTTTTACATGAGTTAGATAAAAGTCACAATTGATGCAAGTATTTTCAGTTACTTGCTAGAACCACCAATTACTACTGCAAGAAATTAAGGAACATTTTTCTCATTTCTAAAATTTCACATTAGACAGTCACATCATTTCTAGAGAGACAGCCTGGTTTCCCTACCTTTCCTGAAATGTAAACTGTCAGATACTCAGGTTTTCACAGATTCAAAAGAAGGAGAAAAAAAAAGTTTGATTAAATTAAAATGACTGAAACAAAACAAAACATTAGAAGTGCTAGATTTTCCCATTTGCCAAAACAGCAGGAGCTGCGAGTGAATACCCTTACCTTTTTCATTTAATTAAAGCACTGATTTTGACATTAAATTTAGCAAATGGCTCTAAAATCAAAGACGCAGCTTCCCAAATCTAAAGAATCTCATGAGCAAAATGGCAACTGGATCAGGGGACTGTCCTACAGCAGCAGTCTTTCCTCAGCTTGGCCGGGGACACTGCATGTGCCTGTGTTAATAGACAGGAAACTGCTGATACTCAAACAAAGAAGCCTTTCCTGTAACTACTGAGGAAGAGGTATGACAATTGCCTGCGCACGTTTCTTACCAGAAGGTGGCCGGCACTTTCTGAGAGCTCCCTGGTGCATAAGGTGACAGCACCAGGAGCCTCACGGTGTGCACCGCAGCAGCGCGGAGACAGCCGCACAGCAGCCACCGCAGCGCCACTGGCCCATCCTGCTCCAGCAGCCAGCTGGAGCATCCACCTCTGCACTGTTCCTGATCCCACCCATGCTACGCTGTAGACACACACATATTCTCATGACTTTGAACACATTTCTCCAACTGCAGATTTCATACTTTCATTTAGCTATTCACCCATGGGAGATGCAAAGCTTCTTCCAAAGCAGTCCCAGGATATCCAGGCAATAACATGTGCCCTACAGAATGCAATGACACAATGCAAAGCCCTGACATTACTCTAAAATAAATTCAGTCATGCAGCAACACCACATGTAAAATCCAGATAAAGTTCTCAATGCCTCTAGAAGGGATGAAAAGTTTCATGTCAAATCTGAACCAGAAAAACCCCACACCACCACCACACCCCAAACCCTTACAATTCCTGGTTAACTCTGACAAGACAATTTGTAATAATAGAATAAGATAACTTCTCCCAGCTGGCAATTACTGTAAATGCCAAAGAACTATCTATGATGCAGACACAAAAAGTAAGGAAAAGGTGATGCAAAGAAATAACACATAGCCTGCTCTGTAAATAATTTGTAAAATCTTCAAATTAAAAAAAATCCTCATAATTAAAACCCTGCTTGTAAGAAGCCAGTTTGCACTTTACCAGTAAACCTGTATTTTGTCATTTACTTCAAAGCAACATGTGTTAGATTCATACCAGGACAAAGAAACATAATTAATCTTTTCTAAGCAGACAAAGTGTGGAGAATTTCTTCATCAATGTCTATTCAAATACAAAAAAAATTAGCAGCCTAATAAGAGACTGAGTTATTAAATTTCCCAAAGTGATAAAGATGAGGTAGCTTATGCACATGATCTCTTTTCCTTTACCTTCTTACTTTCTAATTAAATTTGCAGGAAGGTCAAAATACAAGTCTGTGACAGATGAGCCTCAATAACTTTCAGTGGATATTAAGAAAAACCCCAAACCAGCAAGGTTTTAATGGATTATCAAGGTCTGGGTTTTTTCACTCTCAAAAATACATACATAAATATGCCAATACTAATTCCAGGGTACATATTCAGCAGCAAAACAAAGTCAGTATTGTATTACATTTTATTTGTCAAAATAATATTTTTATAATAATAACAAAGTCTACATTATTTTCAGCAGTCTTCACTTTTAAGGCATAAAGTCTCATTCAGATTTAATCTTCAAATTATCATAATTTGATTGAATAACTTTTCTAATGTTAGACCTCCTTCAATTTAATAGCTTTCCATTCTCTGACAGATTCAGAACTGATCTTTGCTAAACACTTAGCATGGCAAGTTTTCTTTTCATATCTTCCTAGAGCTTCTTATTAAAAAAAAATAGCTCTAACTGTATGACTGGTCCTGTCATGAGACTTAATGCTGAACTTTCTATTTCTTCACATCTCACTTATGGTCATTAACTCTGTGATGAGATGAGTCGAAAGTTCCTCACACGTATCTAAAGAAATCTCTCCTGCCACAAGTTTGATTTATTGTCCCCCGTGACTCATTAGCATTTCAAGAGCTTGGGGACTGCTTTTTTATTGAATATTTTTCTGCTTCTGGTCATGCTACTACTTTTTAACTTATCAGCAGAGGGGATTGTAATAGAAAACATCTGAATTGCTTATGTGGGTTTTTTTTAACTGCAATGCTTTGAAGCAGGAGTGCTGACTTCTGATTAATAAAAGAAGTTTGCTGTACCTCAGGCACGCAGGATAAGCACACAAAGCAGGTACAGTTCCCCTGTTAACAGCTGCAACGTAAAATTTCACCATCAAGGAGAGACGGATGATGAAGTTACAGTGAAGGCTCTTTCTGTTTACAGACAAGACCTTATACACCATCAAAGCCAAGAGACAAGGTGCTGAGGTTCCAAATAAATGTTATGTTAGCATTTACTGTCTGGTAACTATAAAGGTTTTATACTTCCCTGCACGCCGTTTCTTAAGGCCTAGAAAAAAAGCTTCTCCCCCTGAAGCTCCTGATTCCTACCCCTGCTTTCTTCAGCTATAACCTCCTTACGAGAGTTTCCAGTCCAACAGCTGGTATCTAAATCATGGAAATCCCCTGCCCTTGGCCACACAACGTGATGCTTGAATCCGTACAAAGCAGCACATTCTTCCAAAGGCACACAAAACCAGTGGCAAGCCTGGTTCCACTGCTGCTCATCCCTGCTCTCGGAATTTCCAGTCCGTAACGGGGGAAGAGCACTCGGCCTGTCTGGGACTGCAGCTCCTGGAAAACCATGGAGGGCCACGAGCTCGCCCGATCGACCCACCAGCCCCTCTTCCAGGGCCGTGGGGTACGGCAGGCACGGCACCGGGGCTCATCCCCACGACAGGAAGTCCTTCCCGAGGTAAAACTTCAGCAACTCCTACAGCCACGAAGACGACACCACTTCCTGAGGCACATTCACGG